CATCTCACCTTTTCCTCCCGTAACTTCTCTTACCTCTTGCAAGAACACGCACCCTCCAAATAATCTCTTCCAACCTCCTTGGCCTTACTTAGGTTTCCCCCACCTAAAAGGTCCTTCCTTTTGCAATCCAGGTATCTTAATCAACAAACTCAGAGCTAACCCAGGCATTTGACCCTATTCTAAATTCCCTCCTGCCTGAATCATTGCTTCTTCTTGTTGTTAGTTGTTGTCCAGTGGATTGCCACTCATAGTGACCCAAAGTATGCAGAGTAGAGCAGTGCTTCATATGGTTCTTAAGGCTGTGACTTTTCCGAAGCAGATTGCCAGGCCTTACTACCTAGGTGCCTCTGGTTGGGTTTGAACTGCCAACCTTTTTGTTAGTAATCCAGTGCTTAACCATTTGCATCTCAGGGACTCCTAGAATGAGGCGCAGAGCTTATTGTTTGCCTGAGTAGGAGGACCTTAAAGGCATCACTGTGGCCTACACTGTAGTTCTGTGCTGTCCAGTATAGTAACCACTAGCCACATGTGGCTATTGACTTTGAAATGTGGCTAGTACAAATTGAGATGGGCTGTGGTACAAACGAAGGAGCTCTGGTGGTGTCGTGGTTAAAGCATTTGTCTGCTAACCAGAAAGTCAGTGGTTTGAACCCACCAGCTGCTCCAGCAGAAGTAAGGTGAGGCACTCTGCTTCTATAAAGATTTACAGCCTTGGAAACCCAGAGAGGTTGCTAGGCGTCTGAATCTACTCGATGGCAGTGAGTTTGGTCTTTTTGGTAAGGTACAAATGGTTAATGTGCTTGGTTGCTAACTGAAAGGTTGGAGGTTTGAGTCCACCCAGAGAAGGCTCAGAAGAAAGGCCTGGTGATCTACTTCTGAAAATTCAGCCATTGAAAACCCTATGAAGCACAGTTCTGCTCTGACACACACAGGGTCCCCATAAGTGGGAGTCTACTTTACAGTAACTGCTTTTGGTTGTTAAATATAAAATACATTAGATTTCAAAGACTTAACACAAAAAACCAAACAAGCTATGTCATTAATTTTTTATACTGATTACATGTCAAATGATATTATGGATACATTGCCTTAAATAAACTATTAAAATTAATGTCACTTGTTTCTTTTTACATTTTAAAATGTGGCTACTAGAAAATTTAAACATGGTTCATATTATACCTTTATTGGCTAGAGCTGCTCTGGGCTCCCCCAACATAAGAATTAAATTCCTGAAAGCCCCCACTGAAGAAATATACCCATCATGGAGAAGTGAGAATTAGGGAGCAGGAAGTTGGCAATTAACCTGTGTTTTTGTTTATTTAACACTCACTAACATTAAACTGTAAGAACAGCTTACTAAATAACTTATCAGTAACCTTACACATCTCAAAGAATCTTTGTGGACACACTGCTGTGCAGTTAATTTCCATTCACCAGTCCTTATGCTCTATGAATTTTTATGTCATCATGGGAGGGAAAGTTGGCTGTCCATTACTTTTGTTTTGAGCGTTTGAATGGAGGATCAGATAAAGACTTCAGCAGCCTTCGACGGCATATAACAACAACAACAGCCTTCCAATAAGTAGGCTTGTCACTGTAGCAAAGACAAATGGCATAGCCTGCTGCATATGGAAGCCAGAGACCCCAAACCCAACCATCTTGAGGACAAAGGGAAAAGGCAACATGGGATGTGCACAATTTATTTTCTGTCTAGGAGCAGCTCACAGGTGGAATGTGCTTAATCTGAAATTCCTGCAGAGGAACAAATGGTACCCAAGCATAAGCCTGCCCATTGATTCATAATTTCTATCTCCCCATTGCTGTTAGTTCCCCTCAAGTCACCTCTGACTCATGGCAACCTTATATATAACAGAACGAAATGTTGCCCAGTCCTGTACTATTTTCACTATCATTAGTATGTTCAACTTCATTATTGTGGCTATGGTGTCAATCCATTTGAAAGAGGATTTCCCATGTATTCACTGACTCTCTACCAAGGATCTCTGGGTGCTGCAAATGGTTGAGCACTTGACTACTGGCCAAAAAGTTGGTTGAAACCCACCCAGAGATGCCTTGAAAGCCAGGCCTGGAGATCTGCCTCTAAAAGGTAACAGCCTTGAAAACGCTATGGGGCAATTCTACTCTGTACACATGAGGTCCTCATGAGCTGGAATCAGCTCTGCAGCAACTAACAACAGGAACTACTTTATCTACCATGATGTCCTTTCCTAGAGGCTGGTCTTTCCTAATGACATGCCCAAAGTAAGTGAGTCAAAGTATCGCCATCCTCA